ATTTGTTCATTTGGCTGCCACGGCTCCCCATCTGATTCACTTTCAAGGCCTGCTTGATTTGGATCTTCGCCAGACATTTTCTGAAAAATGGATTAGCTGTTAATCATGATCATAGTAGAATCAGGACAAATGGGACCTCTGTAAGCACATCAACATGGAAGGACAGTCACAATGTACAGCCCACCGCTAAAGCAATGTGCGGTTTTACCAATCTCAATGGATGGCTTTGGCCTTTGACTGGCGATTTTTAATACGGGGTGATTGAAAAGAAGATATCAATAGACAAAGTTGCAGCTGCAAAAGTGATGATACATGCAAGCTATATTCAAAGTTTCATTGTAGTCTGGCTAATCATTCCTAAGCTTCAGAAACAGAACATACCTACCCATCACAAAAGCCCATGACTGAAACCGCACATTACTTCTGCCTTGGACTGTACCTACTATGCACGTCAAACCCCTTGGGACCCCACTTTTTGCAATAATTTTTAAATGTGTTAGCTTTTATTGACGATATTGTGGCAATGGGTGTTTCAGAACCTGCCGAAACTTTTATTACAAAGGTTTTTGATGCCAAACATTTATGAGAGGTACCTACTTCTCATTTACTCGTAATGTTAAATTTCACGGAACAAATCCCCTGTTTGGGTAGAGGTTATACGCTCATGGGGCAGAGCCACGTAATGACGTCAGCACTAAGCTCTGCCCTACCCCTCTGGCGCTCCTTGCCCGGCGTCCGGTCACTCGCAGTCGCATCTCATGCTCCATCCAGGCTTGATGGTGGGAGGTAGCTGTTAGCGATAGTGGGCGCTGGTAGATGACATTAAGAGCAGATGGCTCTGGTGGCAGGGCTCGATTGGGCTCGAGTATGGCCGAACGCGGGCCTCTGCCAGCACCTGAAATTATTTGACCTTAGCATTACGAAAGAATGTGAGGTACCTTTCATAATCATTTGGCGTCAAATAACATTTGTATTTAAGTTTCGGCAGGTTCTGAAATCTGAAACACACATTACCAGAATATCGTCAACGAGAGTTCACGCATTTAAAAATTATCGCAAAAATGAAAAAGTGGGGTCTCAAGGGGTTTGACCGTCCATAGTAGTCAACAACAACACAGGCGATATCAGTCGGGGAAACTGTGGTCAAATCTTCCATTTTTAGAAAGCCTTCCATTTTTGGAAGGATTTTCTATATATGGGTACGCACCTTCCAAAAATGGGTACGCTGACGACGTCATCGTACCCAAATATAGAAAATGTTGCGCATATGTTGGAACTTACCGATTTCCGCCGAACATGAGGCAAATGCGACTATCGCCCCTGGTCGCTTTCTATTCGCCATAGTGAAGTGTCCATAATCTAGCGTGGATGCCTAAATCCTAGCGTGGATGTATTTTAGGTAATTTTTCAAAGTAATGAGTCGTGGAAAATTGGCAAAAATTTACCGACAAACGATGGTTTTATAAGACTTTATCAAACATTTTGTAAGCAAAAAGCATCAAAAACGAAAAGTAAATATCCTTAAAAGTACTTTAGTGACGGGCCATGCTTGTTCGATACCGCCGACTTTATTTACAGTGCGGAATTGTCTGGACAGAGTGCGGCGGTTTCGGGAGTGTAGTGGCGGGTAAAACTTGTATTTGTTGCCGTTTTCTGCATTTATTAGCATATTTTGTGGTTGATTTCAATTTTTTAAGGCTTTTGCCAAACATTTGGGTGGAGGTCTCGTCATTTTTCAATGTTTTTTTCCGGAATATGGGACGAATTAAATAGGCGTTGCTGCGCCGTTTTTCGTGTTACTTTCTATCGAAGGAGCATGAATCTTCAATTTATATGAGGAATAGTAAGTTTAATTTAAACCATTTTTTGTCAGGGCTATAGCTGTGTTCCTCCTGGTTGGTTATTGACCAGCTGTTTTCTCTTCTGAATTTCTATGTGTCCTCTAGAAGTAGAAAAAGAGAGCAGTGCGCCAGGACACCATGCTATTATATCACTATGTACATTGACATAGCATGCCTGTATTACCAACACTAGCACTGCTGCTTCTCCTTATATCAATGATCATAAATGGCAAAATCAACTATTAATGTTACACATTTAAAAAGGCCGTAACTTAAATCAAAGAATGTGAATCACAGTTGGCAGGGGCGGCGCCACGGGTTTTCGATAGGGGGGGACGGGGACCGAAAATCGAAAATCCCAAAAGTAGATACTGATCGTGTATGCAAAAAAAGATCGATCACCTTTTCAAGCATCCTTCCCTCTAAATCAAAATTTGCAGTCTTGCCAACTCAAAGCTGGTTTCCTACAAGCTGCGAATTGCTTAGGCATAAGTAGCAGTGCCAGCTATTCTTACATTTCGTACTTTCAAATTTTCGATCTTACGTCTGGTCAGCTTCAGGGCTTCACCATCATATACATAGTCATGGAGGAAAAGTGGGAATGTCTTCTGCTCTGACAAGTGCGCCAAAACTGCAATATAATTTCAGAATCATGACATCACCACCTGATCCATATGCAACGGGCAGGGTGCAGCTAATGGCTAGCCGTCAGTGGTCATGTCATCGGTGGTCACTCAAAAGGCCATGCTAGGTCATGGAAGGTCACCAACCGTTATTAGATCACACTTTCTGATGGATTTTACTTGCCAAGAGCTTCGCGGGAAAAACGAGCGCATGCACCGTTGAAAAAATTGAGTGAAAGGGTCTCAGGTCCGGCGACCTCTGCAGGTGAAATGCCCCAGGGTAGGATTCCGGTCCTTGTTGATTAACTTCGTCAAAAATGGCAGTAGAGCTGTGATGTCGGCACCATTGTGTTCGTCATGATCGAGCTGGCACGACCTGCATCGTTCTCATATTCACCCTCCAATCGTAACAACTACAGCAGGGATTGGCAAATGGCGGGGCACCCCCTTTGGGAGGTAATGAAGGTCTCTGGAAACCTCATCCCACATCTCTTAAGCATTAGTGGCTCTCCTTATGGAACAGGTTTCTTGACTGGTCTGTTTCACCCCAGAATTCAAAGACTAGTCAAGGTAAAACCGAGCGCACCACAGTGAGCACAATTTGATAAGCTGGTGTATCTCAATTTTCATGTAGAACCTTTCACGTATCACGGACCTAAAACCCTTTCGTGCACTCATGCAAAAGCAACTGCCATGTTTCAACAGCTGGTAATGGCATTTTCACAGCCGCTGACGTAAGAAGGGGAGGGATGGGGGGCTCGATTAGACCCCCAGCCGTTCGGCCGCCGACCGAACTTAGTTTTGCAGAAAAAAAAACGAGTGCTATCGAACCCCTTGACGAGAGGGAGCCGATGCTATATCCAATTATAAGGTCTTGGGCTACTGCGTGCTTTTTTGGTCCTGCCTGTGATCTATCCGAACACTTCTCCCCACAAGTGCTGGGGTTAAATGGCATAGATTTCAAATGGTTCCTGTGGTAGAACTGCCATGCTTGAATTTGACTCATTAGGAATGGAAAATTTTCATATAGTAACGGAAATCAATGGAATTTCAGCTTGGTTTTATCGGCAATGGGGCCTGGCAGTGGGGTGGGGAGGTAATAAGTAATAACCCTGCCTGGCGCCCCAAAAAGGGGGCACGATCCCCGAGGCCCTGCCGATCACCTTATAACTACAGACATCACAGCTCCACACCTTTTGCAGATGGCCAGGACCCCTGCGATGCATTCCAACAGCAATCTTTATTCAGAACCTGCCTTGATTAACCAACGATGCATTAAATGCCACGGATAGCTCTATAATGCATTATTATCAACTATTGAACGGGCCTCGCCGATAGGGGGGTACTGTACCCCCCTAACTTTCGATAGCGGGGGACCTGTCCCCCCCGTCCCCCCCGGTGGCGCCGCCCATGACAGTTGGGAACACTGAGATTAGACCTTCCAATTTTGGAAGCCTTCCATTTTTGGAAAATGCATACCCATTTATGGAAGGTCCTTCCAAAAATGGAAGGCTTCCAAAAATAGAAGATTTGACCACAGTTTCCCCCACTGATATTTAAGGCATTTGCCAATCAAAACACACATTTTCAGACATAACGATAGTGAGGAGTCCAATGTTAGAACTCACGAAAAATAAATATATCCCAGAATGTTACCTGTAAACCGCGCGCTTTGGCTTGCAACGGGAACAAAAGGAACAAAATGATTATCAAGCAGCACTTGATCAGCACAGTGAGCACAGTGATCAGCAAGCATGGTTTTGTTTGCGTCATAATTGAAACAGCTGCGTTCCAATGTAAAAAGGACAAGTCTTTTTGAAGCTTAAAAGGGTAAATTTACGTTTGTTGCTTTTCTTCTAAATTGGGGATATAAATATTTATTGCTTTAAAATTTTGCTTATCATATAATTAATTTGTAGTTGACAAGTGTTTCACAGTGACTATAAATAAAATGTTTCATATTGGTACATATTTCATGTTCTTGAGCTTTCGCTGAAATGCTACTTTTTCCCTGGGTATATTGAATTAGGACTTTTTCCTTTTTATGCGGCAGCACAACTGATTTATCTTTTTTCATGCTTTGTTGTTGAGTAAGTTTTACAACTAAGAACTAAGCCAGGCCCATTCTGAACCAAACCGCGGCCGGAGGTTTGCTCAGGGGTAAATTGCCCTCGAAAAATTTGCGCCTCACAAAACATCACAAATGTAGGTACGGTGAAAATGGCAGGACAAAAATAGCGTCCACCGTACCTACTACCAATGGAAAATGACTAATTCATGTCAACTTGCACTGGCGAGACGAGACCAGCCTCCAAATTTCACATGCCATGATATCCTCTTACCGAAAAACCCAATGTCTGGTGGTAGCCCGCTATGTTACTACTAAAAAGAAAAAATCCACAAAATATAGCGGCAATCGGCTGCGTAATCGCGCACATCTGACATATCTGAGACACGAGAGGAGGACCCGCAGCTCTCACATCCACTTGTTCCGTAGTTTCGAGTCGTTCGGTCGGTCGCTACACAAACAGCCGTGTCGCGCCACACCATCCCGGTTCTGTATTACCGTTTGTACATGCAGCCTGGAGCGGCGGCGGCCGCGCCGCGCCGGGTCGGTCTGCTTTGGTGTCGCGCACGGAGCGGCTCCTTCAGAGTGGGAGCGGGCGCGGAGATAGAACGCGCCAAGCACAACGAGACTCGGCGACACTCTGCGATACAACATAGCTGCCAATGACTGAGAGCGGAGCCGGCCCGAGCTGGCGAGCTCCGTGCCGAGGCGCCTATGGAGCGATCCAGGCGACGGCCGCAGACCGGGAGCCGGCCGCTACTCTGCCCGGTAATTCTGGGAAAGTCTGCCACAGACGGGCCCGCCCCACTCTGGTGATGAGCCGCCGGAAACGGGGCCACAATGAGATCCCGCCGTCGCGAGCGTTCCGGGTGATCGCAGGGACGCTCCTTCATACACTCAAGACACACAAAAAACACATACCGCAGGACACTCTCACAAGAACGGCAGCTGGCACTCTGCACGGTATGCGCTGGCCCGACCAGCACCGGCCAGAGACACAGCGAGCGCGCACACACATACACACATGAACACACGCAGCGCGAGCGGACAGGCTCTGAGGTGGTCACTTTAGGTAACCTGAGATTATGGTTGTGTGGGCGGCCGCGGCCAACCCTAAGACACTCACTCGCCTGTGTTCGTGCTCGCTTCCAGTATGCGCGGGCCCGACCTAACACACACGCGCCGTCTCAAAAGAGATGCTCGCAACCGAAACTGAAAGTATCAGCAAACCAATTAAACACATGAAAAGGCACAGTAAAGAAACACACGGCATTTAAGAATATTGAATTCAATTCACCGAGAAATATGGCGACCAATCTCTCCACGTCCGGTCAGCATTACCCTAACACAAACTCCATTTAAAATGGGATAAAATCGTAAAAAAGCACCGGCATACACACACCAGGCATCTGTCAGAGGCTTTTCACATCTAGTCCACTCTGGCGGCAGCACTGCGGCACAAGCTCAGGTCCGTGTCACTGGCTCACACGGGTGTCACTGGGCCACGGCCGGCGACTTCTTCTCCTGCGAGTCCTGCGGGGTGGGCGTGGAGGTCTGCGGCGGCGGCGGCGGCGGCGGCTGGGAGCGCTCGCCGCTCGTCCAGCTGCCGCCGGAGGTCAGCGGTGACGACGTGTAGTTGTTCTCCTCGGGGGGCGGCGCGCCGCCGGACGCCGAGCCGCCGCCGCCGCCACCGGCCGAGCCGGCGCCGGCCGCCGCCGCCGCGTCCGTCTGCGCGTTCTCCAGCCGAGTGATAAGCCGCTCGTCCTCGTCGCCAAACTCGCCGCCCATCAGAGACGGCTCCCCGACCACCATCACGTCCTGGCGACACGGCCGGCCGGCGTCAGCGGGGCGCTAACCGAACAGGCAGCTGGGATGAAGCCCCGGCAGGCAGCAGAGGGGTTATAACTGGGAGAATCCCGCTTGAACCGTCAGAGGGGCGACACCGGAGCAACAGCTCCTGGGATAAGACACGCCTGGACGATTGTAAGTGTTGTGCTTGGCTGTGTAAATGGCAATACATTGAGAAGACAAGACAGGACATGACTGCCAAGGGCCAGGCACAAGGCTGACGGGGATAAGATGGGGAACACCTAAGGATGATGCAAGAAACAGCTTGCCACATCGGTCCCGTCGGGTAACACAAAGCCCTCTTATGGGGCGGCGTAAGAAGAGCATGTTCACAGGAAGCGGTGGTACGATAACTGAGGCTCGATTAAAAAACATCACATTTAACATGCCGCGAAAAAACACATGGAAAATAAACAAAGACAGCTTAACACAACATATAAACATATTGTATTATAAAGTTAGCTAAAAAACTAATGAAGAAAATCTAGTTTATTCTAAGCCTATTGAAAAACAAGTAAAAGAAAGAGAAAACTCCACGACGGCGGCGGCCGGCAGCGCGGCGTCCCGAGCGGGAGCGCTTACACTGACTTGTCCGGAGAGACTGAACGGCGGCCGGCCTTTCTGCTTGCTCTGGGCGGCGCCGCCCCCGCCAGCCGCGCCCTTCCGTTTCCGCCGTTTGCTGGGCGGCCGCTGGTTTTCTGTGTGCACCGGGACCAGAAGGCGGTCACATGTCACACAACACTAGTACAAATACGGCGGAAGGCATTACTTTACTTTGGGCGAAATAATACACTGTCTCAGCTAATTGCATTCGCGAGCCGTGCTCGCCCCTCGTAATCCTTACGAGAAAATACGCCGAAACAAATTGATGAAATAAACAATAAAAAACGTTCTCAAGCATCGGTTAACGTACTGAAATGCTTAAAAAATGCTTCGAAGTTTAAAATACTTCCCTCACGCTTAAACAAGGCACACAAGTATTTACACACAAAACATACCTGTACAAACCACGCAAAATGACGGAATACAGGGTGTCTCAAAAGTTCGCTTACACATTTCCCATGTCAATAAAGCATATAAGAACCGGCCAAAAATCTAAGGTTTTGGTGTCCGTGTGTACACTAGACAAATATGCATGCTTTGACAACTGATTCGGAAGGTTGGAAACCAAACCCTTTGCTGTATCTCCAAAAATATTTGCCCATACCGATTTTCGTCACTCCGTCAGCTGCCGGAGGCTAATAAAAGGTTACCAGCTTTCAAGCTCTTGTAGGGGAATCCCCCGCAGTTTCTGCGTCGGATTTAGGTTTGACGAGCTCCCCGGCAACATCCGCTTCTCCCTGAAAGCCGATAGCTTGCATCGACACCATCCGTGAGTATTTTGTAGGTCTTCTCTGGCGCTAACTCCTTCATGAATGACTGGCGCCGACCTCCCAAGCACCATTTTCCTTTTCAAAACAACCCCATTCCTGAATAAATGGGAAGTGCCAGGGGCAATTTTTTCGCAGCATATCGTAGCAGAATGTGTCGGCTATCTGTTTCTTAGACACATTTTGCAAAATTTGCAAATCCCGAACGCTCGTCATTCCCAATGCCAAGACCTTCGCTGGGTTCCGGAGTGTTTTCCTCAGGAGAGATTCTGCTTTGTAAACGGCCAAAACCTGTCCATCGTGCGGTTTTGTCCGGATTTTGTGTGTAAAAGAAAGCTATTTGCTCCAGATCTGCCTCTTGAAACTTCGTTAGATAAAACTTTACATTAATTGACACTTTTGGAGGGTCACTTGTCCTCGGCATTGACGATTTTCGCATTATTTTCCCTCAAAATTAAGCGTTATAGATATTATAAACAATTTTAAATGATATTTTGTCTTTATTTTATGATGACCTGCAATTTTTGAAACTGGGTAACCTCTGTCTGTGAGCTTCAAGTCAGTTTTCAATAGTTAGGACTGCATTTTCAGCTGCTTTCCGGAGCACGAGTCTGCTGCGGCACAAGGGTCGTTCAAAGCGCTGTTAGTCTCGCATGGTTTTGTCCTTCAAAAATTTTAGCCACCGTTTTTATTAGATGACCATCATGTTGTACTCATCCTCGCCGACACTTTGGCATGTGTCATTTCCGACCTAACCATTCCCATTACTCGTGAAGTAGAGAGTTTCTCAGCCGACCCGAGTATGCGACCTCCATTTTCATGCCTGATCCATGGTCAGAGGTGAACCCTTTTTGTGAGCTCATTAGGGGTCGAATGCGCTTGAAAACAATGAAGCTGCTTGAGGAAGGTTGTTACCAATGCCCATGCAAAATTTCGAATGTTAATTTCATGTTGATTCAGAATTATTGACAAAAAAGCATGGCTGGTACCTGTAAGCGAACTTTTGAGACACCCTGTACATGCAAATGAAAAGTGGATCTAAAATTTACACCCTTCGGTTACAAAAGCACGATAGGTAACAAGAGGAGATGAGAGGGAGATGAGAGCTAATAAAAACGAAAATAGAAATTCGATGCGGGGAAGAAAAGGACGATTCTGGCAAGGAACAGTGACTAAAAGCGGGCATACAAATTACTACGGCCCGATAGGGAAAAGCAGGCAAAATGGGAGGGAGCAGCAGGAAGGGCCCACATTTAATAATGTGTGGGAGGTGCGCCACACAGTTTAGTCCAGACAGGAGCGACAGTTCGGAGGAAGTGGTTGGTGGCCTGGGAGAAGGATGGGCTGAGGGCTGCAGTAACCCGTCACCAGAAGCATCGCCCGCCCGCCCAGCGCGTTACACAGCTCGGTCCGCGGGGGCAGCAGGGTAGAGGGGGGGGGAGAGCGAGAGACACCACCCGACGGCGGCCGCTGCACATACCTTCCGGTTTGCTATGGGGGTGATTTGGCCCACCTGAGCGGCAAACACAAAACACCAAATCAATAAAGCGTAACGAAACGCCAACCGAAACCAACCGGTCAACAAAAAGCGACTGAACAGAAAAGGCAGCGTAAAATAAAACCATCTAGTGGACCGCATATGAATTAAGAATTGTTTTTGCCAATTTCAAGCCCCAACAAAGTTTCAGTTCCCGAAAAAAAGACACATTCAAACAATTTTGAACATACTATTACTCATGGGTCGAAATGGGGAGTAATGATAAAATGAGATGCAACAAATGTAATGTGATCATAGCTGTTTTTGAGCAATCAATAAAATCGATGTCAAATGATATAGTTTGTGTTGCCCATTTCTGTACAGCTGATTAGTCCCGGAAGCGAAGCATTACCGCAGCCCTGGGCAGCACCGAAACCCTACAGTCAGAATCTCATCAGCTGTCCTACATACGGCCAATTTGTAACTCGTACTTATAGTGGTGCCTCCAAGGGCAAACATGGGTACCCCCAATGTCGGATTTAGTTTTAACGTGTTAGCGGCCAAGCAAAGGGCAGTGAAACCGCAGCCCAGCAACTTAATCAGGCTAAAAAAGAAACAACATTTAAAAACACGCAAACAAAACAAAATCAAATAAAAGTAACACCCATCAGCACAAATAAACTCAATTCTAGCCACTAAAAGTAAACACAATTAACTACACACTAACTAAACAATGAAACGACGCACGCCGTTCACAAAGCTGTAACCAGCAGCTGCGTGGTAGTGCGGGGCGCCTGGACCGCCGACTGACCTGGGGGAGCCACCATACGCTGCCACTTCTGGAACAGGGTGGTCTTCAGGCAGTCACGCGGGCTGAGCGAGAAGGCCTTCTGGCGTGTCATGAGCTCCTGCATCGGCTCCAGAATGACGCACAGCTGCCGGAGGAGGCGGGGAAGGGTCAGCCGGCGACGCACTGACAGACAGCTGCCGGAGGCGGGGAGGGGTCAGCCGGCGGGGTCTACGCATAGACATAGACAGTTGTCCAAACTGCGACTGCAGAGCACGTCAGCAGACTCAGGAGAGGGAACGGCAGCGACGATAAAAAAGGCATGCCAGTCCCTCGGACAAAGGAGCATCGTTTGACTTGTGAAAGGCAGACGTGTAGTCGGGATGATAATCAATTGTCTGGAAGCTAAACAGACGATACTACCAAAAAGGTCGTTTCAGCTAATAACTTCCATTTTTCTGCTCACTTAAGGTGACAAACCCTCCCGTTCCAGCACTGCTCCTACAGCTCCGCCCCGTTCCGCCGCCACCGGCTCACCCTCAGGTAGTTGAGAGTGACGTTGGTGAGCCCCTGCCGGGTGATGTTCTTGCCCAGCTGTTCTGCCAGCCCGGGCTCCTGCTGCGCGTGCATTGCCAGCACCGAGCGCGGAATCAGCTCCTTGACGCCGCGAGTCGCAAAGTGCCACGACTTGATCCGCATCAGGTCGTCGAAGGTGAACTCGACGATGAAGCGGCCTTCGGTACACACCTGTGGAGAGGTGCCAGATAAATGGAGTCGGGTAAGAGCCCGGGGAATACAGCACAACGACGAAAAAAGCACAACAGTTCGACTGGAACCCTCAAACAGGCCGAATTTCTTTAGATGAAGTCCTTTAAATTCCTTTAGTCGAATAATATTCGCTGCTGGTGCGCCTCCATAAACCATCAGACAGATCCATCACAATCCGTAAAATAAGGCGTAAATAGCACCAAATGACGATAACGGATAAGCTAGTCTGTGCTGTCCCAGACCCAATGAACTCGCAATCTCGGGCATAATCAAGACCTCGAGCAATCCTTCCAAAACCCACTGCGTCACCTTGGCCAGCAGCGGCTTGCCGTGGTGGGTGACCATGGTGGCCGCGTCGCAGTCGAGCGTGATGCTCGTGTTGTGGAACGACTCCTTGGGGTGGCGCAGGCTGAAGTAGAGCTCCGTCACACCGCCCTCGAAGATACTCCGGAAGTAGCGCGGGATCAGCGTGCGACCAATCACTGAACGCACGAAAATACAACGAGTTACGCGGGGTCATATAAAAAACATAGTCATAAGAGGTCACACAGGATCACATGATTCATAAGGAGTTATATGGATGATATGGCGTCCCAGGGGCCAATAAGAAAAGCCCAGAGGTAACACAGAGTGAGGTGATCATGCTGATTCACAAGAAACTACAGCCACTTGCATTTCAGAGGTAACCGTAAAATACGTTCTATCGAATTAACAATCAATTTCTTTAAATAACCACAGCAAAGATGCATGATTATAGGAACGACAAAGCATAAACTACGGACGTACTGTATCTCTTTGGTCCGTCCTCGAGGCAGAAGGTGAGAGTGAGTGTAGCGTCGTCCTCGAAGAATTCGGTGGCGAACGCATCCCACCAGAGGCTATCGCTGTCCTGTAATTAACGCAAGTACCATTACCGACGTCATGAATGCATAAACAAGATAAGAAGTAACAACAGTGGAGCGATCACCTCGAAAAACTATGATTTATTGGAACTGAGAATTGGAATAATGGAAAACAACTGGAAATGATAGCGATATGATCGCAAAAGCGTACCATGCATATTGCAAAGTATGCAGTGGACGGAGTACGGTGTAAAGCACAACACTCATGCAATTAAAGGAAAAGGGCCACCTTCGTGAAATATGAAGATATCGTTGTTTTTCATTTTGACATTATTATTTTTCATTTTCTTTTTAAAACTGGTGCCAGAAGTGCACAGTTCGCGAAAAAGTATTTAAAACTATTTAACATATTGGTACTATGTTGATACTCTCTACGGCACCTACTGTATGATGGCATAGCGATGACGTCACACTCAAGCCAATCAGCGTTCAGAAGACAGACTCGTCGGATTGTGTCAGATAAGCTGATTGGTTAAAGCTGAGCTGGTTGGAGCTGATTGGTAAAAAACCAAAGCCTCGCCGCGGGTGGCTGTATTGTCGGATAAGAACGCATTCCTGGGATAAGGACGCATTCCTGGCATATTTTCTTTTAAAATTGCCGATAACTACGAATGGAGGCCGAAATTGGCCGTAAGGAGGTAGACAGATAGGTTTTCGGACACGGGCTACAAGATGGCTATCTCAGTTTCAATCCCCATGTTAAAGGTGGCCCTTTTCCTTTAAGATTTCACCCAAGCATATATTTTCACCAAAGCGTGTTCCGATTGATAGTAGACACACAACTGATCTCAGCGTGACAGCGCCGCCGTAGCTCGTAGCTCGACCTCGACATACCTCTGACTTTTGTTGCAGTCGTTTGTTCAGTTCATGGATCCTATAGTCAGGCTGGTTGAAGTACGAATTATGCCGCCTGAAACAATACAGAAAGGAGACAACTTTCAATCGTGAGTGTAAAATAAAATAATAATAATAATGCCATTAATAACCTACAGCGAGCAAATAAAAACCAGACTGACGCTTCTACGCCATCATTTTTTGAAGACTCTTGTATATCTCAGCATCACAACATGCTCTCTAACACTCATGGTACAGGTTTTACGATCTATCACGCTTGAATTCTTTTTTGAAACAGTGCACAGATGAGGTGATGGGGCAAAATAATTTCGGTCGACAAAAATGTAACCCAAAGTAAAGTCATTTCCACCCAGCCTGTCAAAGAAAGCGGGGGCTAGGCCAAGGCTTTAGGCTGGGGGGAGGGGAGTGAAGAGTCCGACAAAAAAAAAAATGCACAACCTTATATAATATACATACATGATACTAAATAAACAAAAGTATTGGGAGAGGGGGATCCGGGTGCCCGCAAACCACGGTGACGGAGACCCTGCAACGAAGAGTTCATTTGATAACATTTCAGCTGTGTGTAGATTGCACAGAGAAGGGAAGAACAGAGAAAGGATGGGGGAAGGAAGGAGTGGGAGGAGGGGAGGGGGAGCCGGATGGTGAGACAAGCCGGGGAGGGGACGGGGACGGAAGAGTTATCGGACATGACTGCAGCTAAACAAGCAAGTACAGGAAAACTGTGGTGGGCGTATCGTCACCAACACCCGCACAAGCGCACAGCCGGAGTGGACAGACTGAACGACTGAAGGATGACTCAAAAAGAGACCACTGTCGGCTAGCACCGGCTGAATCGGTAGGTATAGCGGGGCGACACACTCAGGACAGCTTTGTGGGCTTTTCTAGGCATTCATTACCATTTGCCGTTGACAGCCAACTCACCCGTGGTCCATTCTGTCCGGCGGGATGGGCCCACCGGGCCCCATCGGTCCCGGGCCCATGGGACCGCCGGGCCCGTGCATGGGGCCCATGTGCTGCGGTCCGAACGGGAACGGGCCGCCGAACGGGCCTGGGTGCGGGCCCATCGGTGGGAACGGGCCGCCGGCCATACTGTGGGGCATCATGCCGGCCGGGCCGCCGAACTGTGCCGGGTGCGGGCCCGGCGTGGAGACAGCCGGGAACGGCCCGCTCGGCGGCCCGCTGGCCGGCGGCGTCGGGTACGGCGACGGGCCGCCGGCCGGCGCCGGGGACGCCGAGAACGGCGCTCCCGGCGGCCCCGGCGCCGGCGCCGGGTGGCCGGGGCTCGGGAAGTGCGGCGGCACCGCCGGCGGCGTGAAGCTGCTGCCCTGCGAGTGCGGCGTGCCCGGTCCGCCGGCGGGAAACTGCGGGCCGCCGGCGCCATAGCCCGCCGGGCCGGCCGAGCCGGGCGTGCCGGGCCCCGAGTCGGGTCCCGACGGCGGCCCCGGCCCGACGGCGCCCTTCCAGCCGAGCGCCGGGTCCGACTCCAGCGTGGCCACCGCTGCCAGGACTGCCGGCCAGCCGACCTGCCAGCAGACGAACCAGCATACCTGGTGCATCAACTCTGGCTTCACCACAGACAGAGCTCACACTTCACCTAACCATACACCTACCAATTGTGGAGCCGGCATAGAGGTACCATGAATGATAATGAAACTATTAATAGGTACCACCTAATAAAGTAATAATAAAACAGTACATGCAATAAAATGGTATGCATCTTTGCATCATAAAGTGGGGAGATAGATGTATTTAGAAAATAAAGAATTCTAGAACACAGCTGCCTAGTGATGATTCATAGACGTCACATAGGTACAGCTCTTTTCTGGCTGCAGATAAGTTCTAAAAGAATTTGTTCCCTTGACAAACATAACTTTGTTCCTGGAAGTTCTCAAACTTTAACAAGCATTTGTCATCATCAAAATCTGAAAATGGAGCCCGGTGTTGCAACTTGCAGTGTAAGTTGCTATAAAATATGGTAGGTTTCTGTGCTGTTTTCCAGCCACATTTCACTTTTTGGAATCCAAACTTGAAAATGACTACCCAAACATAGCATCTGATTCAGCTAAGGGTGCAAAAGGTAGTTATAGCCTACCTTAAGTCCTGTTACTTGCCATAAAGTAATGTTAGGTACTTGTCAGAAGACAGAAACCTACCTATGTCATAAAAGATGTTTTGATTAATATAGTTGTAGTCATCACCACCAGTTGTACTAGTTAAAATACTACCTACTGGCCTTGTACCTACCAGTGACTCTTTATACTGCTGACGCAAGGTGCAATTCTGGCACACAATTGCCGCAACACTATTTTACGTCGTCAACAAATTGTTGGAAGTTTACGTCCAAATTTTACTTAAACCCAACTTCTTTTAAAAACATAATAATAAAAAATATATTTCTTTTAATAAATATACTACAATGACTGCGTAAACTCTGGCAATGAAGCGTTAACGTAAACAATCCATGGGTAGGCAAAAATCAGTAGATCAGGTTAGGTAAGGTTGGGTAATGCTCCTTTTTTTAAATAGATGTCAAAAAATGGAAAAATGTGCAAAATTGACCTTTGAAGTGAATTGTTACCACTGGCACATAAACCCTGCAAACCCTGTGGCTGAGCCCCTAGTTACCAGTCCATTAGCACTGCTTAGCAAGGCACCCAGGCTCACAGTCACCCATTTGATCATTCAGACAAAATTGATATTTCTGATGGGTGTTCACGGGCACCGCTACTCAGTGCGGTGTGTGCGGTGTGTGCAGCAGGCATAGGGGTAGGGGATGGGTAGGCAGTTCTGACGTCACAGCTGCGTGCGGTACACGGTCCGCTGTGGCCGGTCCCGACCGGCCACAGCGGTCGCTGTGTGTGGTGACGGAAGGCTGACAGGGACGCAGCGGGCGGAGCTTGGAGGCTGTGTACGGTCAGATCGCACACAGGGCCCGTGAACAGCCCTTAGGTTCTATCATAAGACACCACCAAAATCAGACAAAACCATCAACACAAACTTGAACTTTTATCCCTATTGAAGTTCTGCATACCATTAATAACAATGAAAACCAGAGAAAAATAATATCATATAAAGGCATCAACATTTCATATTAATATCCAAACTTCATGAGTTCAACTTTGGGTTGCAATTTAAATAAATTTGTTGAATTATTGTCATAGGAGTTGCGCCCGTTCGGTGTTTACAGTCTCACTACTACCACTGCAAAGAGACCAGAAGTGATCTAATGTGAATGATGTCAATGAAATGAAAAAGCATATAGTGGAATACATAAATCTTACCGAGATAAAAATATAAATAAAATGCTAGACAAACTACAGAGTGAATCGTAAACCAAGCTCAAATCCAAATTGAAATATCCCACCTGCAGCACACAGTGCACAGTGCACACACACACACAGCAGCAGTGCAAGAACGCCTTCCTCATTAGCCAATTCGGTGTTTTTGCGACGAAAGGTAGGTTGACACAAGAGAAGCCAGTACTAAAACAAGAATGCTATTGGTATTGTTTAAATAGCTTTTAGAATTAGGAAAATAATACCATATGATTAATTATAACAAGAAGTAACTGAAAAGAGATGCCGAGCAAAGGAGCGAAGGAGCAAAGATCCCGAGACCAAATACGATTAATGACGTATCAGGTGAAGCTATCATTGCTTCTTTATGGCAAACACATTTTAAGGATCATTTTAAAGGGACCCTCCCACCTTTAAAAAAGTTTATGAATTGGCATGAAAGTGATGTCGCTCGGTTCAGAAAGAGCGAAAACGAATATCTACCAAATTTCACCGAAAAATATTCACCGGTTTTCAAGATATTAGACTTTTACTTTTGTTTACTTTTTGGGATCTCCGCTGTTCCTAGCGACTTTATTTAAAAGTGCGGCATTTGTTGCGCGCAACGCAGCATATACCACCGCGTGCTACAAAACGTTTTAGTCAAACATTTACGGACGTTCGAAAGCCTGATGACGTCATCAGATTTAAGTGCCTATACCAATACATTGTGGCACTTATTTGCACAGATGTCAAAATCAAACTCAAATTTCTTTGCGATGAAGTAATTGCTGGAGAAACGGTTTTCACGGCACTGATTTTCAAAGAACGTCCATCAAGATGGCTATCTCAACTCAAATCTAATGTTAAGGTGGGACAGTCCCTTTAAGGAGCGCCAGAATAGCAGTTTTCATTTTTCCCCATTGACTTATAATGGTGAGGTCACGAAAATGACCTGACCTCATATGACCTTTAGGAAAAATCCGAGATATACAAGCTGTGGAACTCATAATGGAAACTAGATCCTACAAGTTTCATTTCCCTGTGACATCTCCTCTGGCAGTGAGGGCGTTGCGAAGTTGCGACATCTGAAGACCGTGCAGAGGTTCACTTATGACGTCATAGGTCAGTGACCTGACCTGACCCAAAAATGCAGTTGGTGTCAAAAGATCCGGCTTGGATCAAAGGTCAGGTATGCCAAGTTTCAGCTCTCTATCGCCAGCGTGTTCGGAGCTATCGCGAAAAAACCCTATGGGGGGGGGGGGGCGGCACCCGCCCCCCCCTCGGCCGGCGAGGGTTAAATGGCTATCTAGTTTTTTTTTTGTTGAAAATTTTGGATTTTGGCCCAAAGTTTTGTCTTTTTTTGGAAAATAATTATAAAATCCAAAATTTTGAATGTAGGTATCGAAAAAAAAAAACGGAAAATAGGTACCTATATCAGCGAAGTGGTCAATGTAGGGGCCTACACCTACCGGTACCAATTTTTAGAAGAATCGGTTCAAAAATGTGGGGACTATTTAAAGTTTTAAGACAACACGACACACAAAATTTTTGACAAATGATTTTTTTGAAGTGCTAGACCTCGTACGGAAACAAAAATAGCACCATTCGATTCGCCGTGAGAAACTGCGTCAGACACCTTTTTAGGTCTTAACCTTCGCCCCAGTGGGGGGGGGGGGGGCATATATTACCACCCTGTCGCGTTTTTTGCGTGTGAATAAAAAACCGCGGCGCGGCTTGCAGTAGCTTGTTATAGGTACTCAATTTTGGACAATGTGTAAAATTTTTGACCTCAGGTCATGTCAGGTCAGGTCACCAGGTCAAGTTACCTGACCAAGCCTAAAAAAGTTCTCAATCATGTCCAGCCTGCAGTGTTTGTCAGAGAGGTTTTAACCCTCACCGGCACAGGGGGGGGGGGGGGTTGGTGCAACCCCCCTAAGGTTTTTCGCAAATAACTCGCGTACAAAACGCCGATCGCGACAAAACTTCTAGTACCCTCGCATTGATCAATTTTACACCTACCCTGAAAATTTCATGACCCTGACCCCAATGACCTTTGACCTGTGACCTCTTTTCCGTGACCACGTTTGGCCGAAATCGCGATTCGGCGTACTCGTATGTCGGCTCGCATTAGCCGCGCGTTTGCAAGCTTATCGTGGTTTTAAACGTTCAAACATGCGATTTGATTTTGCTCCCATGCACAAGGGTGGGTGTCAAGGTCACCTGAAGGTCAGGCCAGGTCACTGACCTTTGGTGACCTCGGTTCACTTTTTCGAGTTTAACATGTTTCTAGGCTAGTTTTTGGAGCTGAATTCGAATTTAGCAACCATTTGAACATTTACGAAGTAGTTTTGGTGCCTTCGTAACATGTTACGAAGCTGTCAGAGGCGGATGACAGGTAGGCACTACGAATACCCGTCACGACCCCTACCGGTTGACCTGACCTGACCTGACCTGACCTGACCTGACCTGGTCTAAACGCTTAACGACATCATCTGTGATCAAAACTAACACGATATTCGTGATCAGCACCCCGGAAAAACCCTTAGCAGCCACGCTTTACGATTTTCTAACAGGTCCCGATATTCCCGATTTTTGTGTCATTGACCTGACCGACCTGGAAGGTCAACCGATGACCTAGGACCTTAAAATCGGGTATCATTGGCTTCCTCTTGTGACGGGCAACACGCTCGTTTTTTCCGCAAAGCTCTAGCTCCATCAGGGGCCAAACGTGAGGCCCCCCCCCTTGTGCCGTCGAAGGACTCAAAATGGCCTGTGCCGGCGAGGGTTATACTTGGTGGATTGCACGATGTTATGGGCACCTATAATTTGAATATCTCGGACTTTTTATATCCGTGACCTAAGGTCAGGCCAGTGGCATGACCTTTGCATTATAAGTCTATGGAGAAACATGAAAATGCCTCTAGATCCGTGTGTACGTATAGGAACAGTCCACATATTTCAGAATCACAATGATTTGGGCCCCCCGTGACGACCAAGGTGTATTTTTTTGCTAATAGCCTCTAAGAAGGTCATCCGAGGTCATTTGAGGCTACAAACATATTTTTGCCAATAACTCTCGATTGGAAAGAGATAGAACGCTGAAAATGGCTTCATTGTATTTGTCTTGTCGAGGCGCATCGAATGATATGCAACATGACCTATTTGGGTCACCACGTGACCTTGACCTAAGGTCAAAGTTTGACCTTGACCTTTCCAGGTAATTTTTTTTCGAAGCGTTTGAAGGAGAGAAACACGATAGTGCCATTGCCAATTCTTCATCTTTGCTGGTTGAAAAGTTATCCGTGAAAAAGTTTTATCCAAAAACAGCTATTTCACAATGTTTAACCTATGGAGGCTTAACCGTTGACCTGAGGTCAATTTTGATGACAACCTTATAAAAAACAGTTCAAAAGCTATCGATTGCTTGTCCATGCGTTTTTCTAGCTATCATATAGTTCCAGAGGTAACGGCATGTTTTCTGAAAAATATAATGACATTTGGCAAATTGTTTGTTTGTTTGTTTGTTTGTCGTTTATTTAAGATTATGGGCATGGACAATGGACAGAAATAAAGTTGAATTGATGCAAAAGCATAAACTTATTGCGAGGCACCTCTTCAACAAAACAAAACGGAACAGAGCGTCACCGAAATAAACACACACACACACACACACACACACACACACCAGGTCCCACGCGCAGCCCCGCCGCCCCGACAGACCTTCCGACCACTACAGCTGGCCTACGCGCGCTCCGCCAGCCTGCGGCCTCCCCCGAACTTTGTACGGCGGTCCGTCTGGCCAGACCGGGACGGTGCCGTTCCATGGCATATGCCGTCCCGGCCGCGTATTCGCCAATTGTATTACACGAATCGGCCAACCAATAGCTTGCCTCCTGAGTGACGTCAGCGTGGCGTCATACTTTCGGTCCTCGCCCTGGTGGCGTCTATTGAAGCTAGGTTTTAAGTTATTGACATTTAAGCTACATGGGGTACATTATGGCTAGATTTGAGTTGAGACTATTTTTGCATTGTATATGGCTATCAGACATGTATGTGTCGCCGTAGCCGAGTGGTTAGAGTCTCGGTGTGATGGACGACAGGTCGGTGGATCGATTCTTGCTTCAGCGGTTCTTTTCTCTTAAAAAGAAGTCGGTCGTAGACGCGCATTTTTGGCCCCTACGTTCGCACGCCAATATCGTACGCCCAATAAATCTCTGACAAGTGTTCATCTGATTAAGGAATAAGTTGCAAAAGAACTGCAGTTGCAGTCTATACCTGAACTACCAATTTTGTTACGGCACTGTCGATATTCGTCAAAGTCGGAAGAGCTATTATGAAACACACTCGAATGACAACGGATTCCTGTATTATTTCATCGATCAGATAAGACATGTATAGATATAAATTGATGACAGCCCGCCGTGAGCATGCAACTTAACAACCAGTCCCAAGTTATCTTCATAAACGTCTAATATAAATCTTTTGACTTTAACTAGATTCCAAGTAAGAGGACTTAGGTATCCCCCTGGCGGCTGAAATGTAAAAGTTATAGTTAGGGCATAGCTCCTATAGATGACGCTCTGACGGCTGGAAACTGATTATCTCGTCCCGTGATTACGCTAACAGCTATGCCGAACTTTTTTTGTGCATGGTGATTCTTACACGAAAAGCTATCTAATAGCCTGCTTACCAGCGTGCGATTTTTACTTTTCATCTTAGGTTTCGCTACTTTTAGGTACTTTACCTTGCCAAGTGCCCACCTACTTTCAAAAGGTCAGCGCCGCCCCTGTCAATGCTGCGTGCTATCACCCATTGGCAGTGAGAAATATTGATCAATGAATGGCCATCGCCCAGCACCATGTGTCTTTCCAACGCCTTTCCATTGGCTACGTTCGCATAGTATGCACTATGCATTAGTGATGTCAATCACAGAAAATCAGAACACCGCTACCAAACCAAATACAAACAAAGACCATTGGAAAATACCGAAACCGAACCAATCGGTTGGACTGCAAATATCTATCTTATGCAACATATTCATTAGAAGAATGCCTACGTCTGATTTCTTAGGTGCACGCCGTTACAAATGTATAAAAAAACGCACAATGACAGATGACACGAAAATCGGAGTCGCCGAGTGGATTCGAACCACCCACCTCTGAAT